AAAAAAAAAAAAAAAAAAAATCACAACTGATTGTGTCCCCCCCCAAACTTGTCATCAGATCTGCACCCATGAACTGTTTTTCAGAATGGCACAAATAATTTGTGTGGCATCTGATTGTTTTGTAAATAGCTGTAAATAGTTGTTCAAAAAATGCCTTGCCTGCATTTTAATGTAAATAGTTATATATAACTTTGTTGTTTGCTAAATTTGGACATAAGTTTTTTAAATTTACAATTTATATTTCTATTCTAAGTTACAAAAATGGTTCGTTAGACATGTTTGTGGTTTCCACAGTAAAAAATCAAACTGTTTCCTACTCGGATTTTATGGTTTTTGTGTGATTTTAGGTCCAGTGTGTTAATACGGTATGTCAAAATGAAAAAATAACTGTAAAGTCACACAGGTGAGATTGTGCTGAAAAGAATGACACCCAACAAGGCAAGATAAACAGTTCTTTAAGGTGAAATTTAAAGGTAAAATCAAAAGTAGTCAAAAACGGCCAATTATCCCCTAGACCCCATCAAAAATGATCAAAATTCAATATGTTGACAATTAAATGATAAATGGACTGCACCTGTATAGCACTTTTCCAGTCTGCTGACCACTCAAAGCACTTTTTGCACAACATGTCATAGTCACCCATTCACACACTAGTGGCCGAGGCTACTATACATGGTACCAGGGCAGGAATTTCACGAGGACCACGAGGGCCATGGCTCTCGTGCCCTCCTAATTTGGCCCTGTGCCCTTGAAAAAAATATCTGCCCTAAGGCCACAGTGGCCTTGATGCCCCGCCCGCGCTGCCCCAGCTGATTTTGCGGTTTTCTGCCTCTGAGAAAAAAAATGCGATGACATTCTGGATTCTTATTGAGCAACATCAAATGAGACGATACCTACATCACCAGTGGTGGATTTGATTCGAGCCTGGCATGAACCGCTCGGACGGGCTATAACGACAGTTTGACACCAGTCTAACACCGGCCAACCAGGAGACTTCGTCAAATGCCCAGGCAGGGATCGGTACCGAGACCCAGTATTAAACAGCCCAAGGTAAATTTAATCAAGACTGTAATAATAGTAAGCTCCGCCATTATCGGCGTTACTTTTTAAAGTTTCAGTTTCATGTATCATCATTCTGCAGCGGTGGGGCCGTGGTGCAGATGAAGGGAATATAACTTCAAGATCACTCTAGTTGACAACAACTACGCTTGTTACTGTGAGTAAGTGCAATAAAAGCTCTGCCAATAAAAAGCCAATACTTTATCAATACATGTGATTAGCATTATCATTGAGCGCTATTATGATTTACAATCGCGGTCAACACAAGCACATCGCACTCGTGGTGCTAACAGCAAACTGTTAAAGACAAACTAAAATGAAAGCTGTCTGTAGCTAACACTTTATCTGAACATGTACCTGAGGCAGCCGACCTGCAGACAGTGAGTGTCCTCAGTAGAGGGGGGACAGAGAGCAGGATGAATGACTGATACTGATGTTTGTCTTCATGCTGAGATAACGTGACTTTCTTCACTCAGTATTGTGATGTCAGGAGGAATATTAATATTCCAGTGAGATATTATTGGGTTTTAAATAGTAACTTTGTTGTTGTAAACATGACTGTTGCTGCCATGGACTGTATAAAACTATATCCTGTGTAACTGACCTATAAGGAAAGCATCAGAAGATGAGGTGTGTGCATGTGTGTGTGGAGGAGAGGGGAGAGGGAGATGCTGGTAGAGAGATAGTGTGTGTTATTAGATACTGTTAATGTCACTTATTATGCTTCTGTGCATTGATAGATCTTTTTAGTCTGTTTCTGCATCATGTTTGGGAGGGCCATGCCTGTAAATGTATGCAAAAAAAAAAGTAGATGCTCGCTGCTAAAAATGTGGCCCATCGACATTATCTGGTTTTGAAATGCGGCCCAGTTGAAATAGTAATTGAATAGACCTGCTGTAGTTTGTTTGTTTGTTAGCTATCTAACAACACATCAAAAATAATTGTAAGCCAGTCTTGTTAAGTGAATCAGTTTATCATGTACACTCAAAAAATATTTAGGCCTAATTAGGGTCCAGGCAGCTAAGCTGCCAGGGCACTATTGTAATCCTAGGTATTCTTCTTCTTTCTTCTTCCGAGGAAATCATACTTCCCATGGGTGAAAACTTACCTAACTTTGCACAAAGGTCCAGTCTCATGCCAGATATCCTCAGCTGTAAACTCAAGCCAATAGTCCTGATGGTGGTGCTAAAGCAAGCGTCTAAATTTCAAAACTTTGAAAACTATACGTGCTACAACTTCACAACTTTCATCAAACTGTAGCCCCAGTACTGAAGAAACTTTTGTACATTTAAACCTATTAAAAATTATGGAGTTCATCACTCTGTTTGCTATATTCATCACTCTGTTGACACAAAACTTGCTACCGAGCATCTTCAGACTGTCCTACAAAAACTGCGTTTCTCAGATTTTTGATTTATCAAAAATTGAGCCTACAGTGCATCAAAATGTTTGACTGTAAACTGTACTGTAAACATATACATGCAAATTCTATTCTAAATTCTATTCTAAATAAATCTTCAATGTTCATGAAAAAAATGACAAAATTCTAGAGTCATGGTGTCATGGGGATGATGTGTGGCAAATTTCAGAATTGTATCTCAAAAACTGAATTTTTGACAGCATTTTGAATTTTGCTCTAATGTGAACAATTGGAGTCAATGTAAAAATGGCAATTTTAACATGCTGTCTAGATGCAATATGTGTATTTTCAGATTTTTGTCTTAATAACTGATTTTTTTTTTTTTTTTTTTACAGTGGTTTCAAATCTGCCTTTCCATGCACGGATGGCTGCTTTCCTACACAACAGTGAATGGCTTACTCAGTTTGTGAAGCCACTGTTGAGTTGCTACTTGCCAATTAGCTCAGAGCAGTAGATGACCGTCTTAGGTTCCAGAGGTTGCGGTTTCGAGCCTCAACTGGTGCAGAATCCACATTGTAATGTAATCATCTTCTTGTGCTCCAGCTTATTGCTTAAAATTGCCTGACGTGACTGATCACTGTACAGCATCTTCAAGTCTTTTTTCTGCTAGAAAATCTGCCTGCTCATGCTTGAAAATAAACCAAACTTTGCACAAAGATCCAGTGCCAATACTTCAGTGTGAAACCATCTGAGGCTTCTCACTTTGCACATAGCTCAACTAGTTAAACATCAGTTTTTCACTTATGAAGCAAATCAGTCATTGTTAAAATAAATTACCAACATCTCCATGCTGTCTAGATGCAATATGTGTATTTTCAGATTTTTGTTTCGATAACTGAATTTTTTACAGTGGTTTGAAATCTGCTTTTCCATGCATGGACGGCTGCTAAACCTGCACGTCTGGCTTAGTCAATTTGTGAAGCTACACATGAATTGTCACTGACTAATTAGCTCAGTGAGATAGAAATTGATTCTTAGTCTCAGAGGTTGTGAGTTCAAGCCTTAGCTAATGCAAAAGGCAGACTGTGTTGCTAAATTCCTAAATGTCTTCCAATTCGTCTGCTTGTTGCTCAGAATTGCCTAAAAGTGCCCAGACCCGACCTATCGCTGCGCAGCAGCTATAATATTTAAGATTGTTTTTTAAAACATATATATTAAAAACACATTGGGTTTATTAGTACTATTAAATAAATCACATTATTACTTATTATACTCATTATAACTTGACCTTGTTTTATTATTTCATTTCACAGATAGTTATACATCCTTAGTCCTTAAATTAAATTCATTATGGACTTGGACTTAAAATCATTGTTTTATTTTATGGCCTTGCTGCCCTGGCTTTTGGCCTTTGTGCCCACAAAAATTGACAACGTGAAATGCCAAGTGGCCTTGCCCCTTAAATGACGAAATTCCAGGCCTGCATGGTACCACCTGCTATTCAGTAACCATTCACACACTCCTACACACCAATGCAACAGCCATCTGAAGCAATTTGGGGTTCAGTATCTTGCACAAGGATACTTCGATCCATGGCTCCTCCAGCCTACATGTCACACGAATTACGATCTTCCGATTACTGCATGACTGACTCTACCTCTGAGCCACAGAGGTAGAGTCGGTCGTCGTATTATATTGGCATATAAAAATTCTGTGTAAGTGTAAAATCATCTGAAAATAAGAATCATTGTGATTCTGTTACATTAGAATGAACTGTCTTTCCACATAGGGAGCAGGTCTTTGTTTATGGAGATGGCCATGTTGCACCACTGTTTATATAGTAGCCAAGAACGGACACACCAAACACTGTCCAAACAGCATCGGAAATTCACTGATTTGAAACATCAAATATCAGACCATGCCACACAGTCAACACAATAGATGCTCAAACTCCTCATACTGTATATCTCACACACCACACAGGGTCATGCACTTTCAGATGTGAAAATAATGATCTTTATTTCCTTGTGTAACAAACTAAAACATAATTTACTAAAATCAAATCAAAACTAGGTGCTACATCCTGTGTATAAACTCCAATCTTACTGTGATCTCACGTTTTTTCTCATTTGTAAAGCACCGCATGCTGTGTATTTTGATGTTTTGATGTGTTTGTGTCTGTCTCACCCGTATGAAGCACTGAAACTTCTTGTCTCTGGCCAGCAGGTCCTTGTACAATTTGACAGCCTTCAAGTGACGGCTACAGAACTCAGCATAGGTCTTCCGCATGTCGTCTGCACACTGACCTGAGAACTGGCAGAAGAACACATGCACAAGTTGTTTTGTGCATGTGTGAACAAGGGTGAGAGAGAACACATGCTTAAATGTGAAGAAAGTTACTAATCAGACTTAGTATCCATTATTCAGCTTTGGTTGTCATGGTAACAGATGTTTGTGGGAAAATTAATCACAATAGTGAATAGCACAAACAAAAATCACATAAAAATCAAAAAGCTAATATAAATATTTTATTTAAAAAATCCACTTTGTGGCTTTGTGGCAATTAATTACAAACAGTGACATAATTAAAATAATACATTCCTACCAGTTGTAAAATATCTATTACTGAAAAACACTCTAGAGAATTTTACACTGATGTTTTTTAGACTGAACATACATTTAACTCATGTCGGACTTATTCATATTAACACCTTCGTCTCTAACTGTACATTTCTGCTACACCAGTAATTGACACAAAAGTATGTCATAAATTTACCAGATACAGTTACATTTTAGTTTCAGTTCTGTGTCACTCAGACACTTTTAATGGGGTTACTGTTGGTGTGTGTGTGAGAGTGCATTGCAGTCACCTGCTCTAGTAGTATGTCCCCCAGCTGGTGAATGGTGAAGTTGCGACTGGATCCAGGCTGCAGGCTGCTGTTGTGCCTCAGGAAAAGTTGTGCCAGGAAATGGGAATGTATTCTGATCAGTTGGTCCAGGCAGGGGAACATGGCATGCACGGTGCACAGGTCCAGCTGGAGCTCCTCGAGCATGCCCTGCCGAAACACCCTTTCCATGATTTGCAGCGTTCTCATGTGGTGCAGCTCTGTCTGAATCAGCTCTGAGAAGGACACATACCCACATCACACACACACATCAAAGTCACGCAGACAGACAGGCTGTAGCAGTCCAACAGTACAGGCAATGAAAAGAAGCACCTCTGAAATTCTTCTAAATTAAAATTTTAATTATGTATGTATGATAGATAGATCGAAGGCAGGAAACATCTTCATCATAAGAGCCAGTTAATAAATCAAGCTTCTGACAAATCCAGTCAGAAGAACTGTGAATACCTCTATGCCTCTGACAAACTCAGCACGGTCATGCTTAAGGAGCTGCCATTACTGTTCTGCGGCCTGCATTTTACAATATCAACAACAAGGCAGTTCCTGATTGGCTGCTTACATTTTCAACTACAGTGCGGATTCCTGATTGAGATTGAGCTCATGTCATCTTACCAGGTTATTCAGAAGCAGTTCCAAACTTTTCCCAGAGAAAAATAAGTTAATTTCATCAAATTTTAATTAATTTAATTGTATATACTTTATTAGTCCCCGAGGGGAAATGCAATGTTTCCAATCAGCAAATAAAACTAATTATTACAATATGGACACACTACAATTATTTTTCATATACAGCATAAACACTTTAGGGCCTTGCACTGATCCTTGTGGAACCACAAATAACTTTCAACAAATCCGATTTGACATTATTTGTACACATTAATACCTATTATCAAGGTAGTGTCTTAGTCAAAAATATGCTATCCCTCTAATACCATATCTCTCCAATTTCTTCATTGATAAGACAAGTCTGAACTATAGGGAGGGAAAAATTAGGATCTGTCAACTCCTGCGGTTACCATAGATGACATCCTGCCTCTTGATGACGTTTTTGCGGTGTGTCTGCAAGTAACTGCTGTCCACAGCCATGCTCCATGAGTCAGCCTTAAAGTCCCGGCTCTCGAGCTCCAGCTCCTCCAATACTGAAGTATAGTAGATGTCTCCTAAATAATTGAGAACCATTAGCATCAAAGATCAGAGGCTGACAAGTGATTTTAGAGCTCTATTGTATTAGTGAACAACCAAGGAGTAATGAGCCAACTTGATCTCTCTTGTTGAGATAGCTGGTTGGAAGAAGAACCAAGGTCAATGGGCCACACTGTAAGTCCAACTAAATTTAAAATTAATCATCCACTTTTGCAGTCAAAATCATGTTGAAGTGTATATTACATTAATTAAGTTTTTTTTGATTACTGAAGTAATAAAATGCCTTTAGAGATACATGAATATAGCTCCTTCATGCTGAGTTCACACTGGATGCAGAGTGCCGTGAAGCCTGCTGATTTTCCGTGGAGCGAAGCCCACTTGCTTTGAGTGCCCATGTTAAAGGGATAGTTCAACATTTTGGCAAATTTGCCTATCGCCGTAATCCCTATAGTCACACGAGTAGGTACATTACCTTTAATTGTCAGTGCGTGCTGTTCTGAGATCGGTGGGACAGAGCTGCCTGCTGAAATGGAGGTAAAAGGTACAGGTCCCTCTCTCCCTCAAAACTAATCAAATACACCATCAAATGACTCCAAAACACTCTTGTGGACAAAACATGGCTTGCGCATTCCCCTCACTATGAAATAATAATGTATAATTAAGTAACATTACGACACATGAAGCAAATACTTGGAACTACTTTCTTGAGTAAACCACTGGGCGGAGTGACACAGTGCACAACTGAGACAGTGCCGTAGTTATTGCTTGTAGCCATTTGCGGTATCGTCAGCTGGACACACCAGAAGGTTTGAGGAAAGTTTACAAAAGTTTTTGTAAATCATGGTTTACACAAGCATTGTAAAAGGTTGCAGGAACAAGCCGAAGCAAAGTGAAGTTTCACATAGTTCCAACCAGTAATACGGACAGGATGAAACAATGGCTATTTGTGCTGGACATCGACCCCAACACGCCTGTGGAAACGGTCCGAAAAATGTTTGTGTGCTCCTGCCATTTTTTACCGGAGGACTACGCTGAAAGGATGGAGCACAGAAGCTCAGGAATGGTTCAAACGCTTTTCTTCAAAGATACTCTCATACCATCTGTCGGCATCACAAAACGAGCAGACGTGGTAAGTGATCGTTGTGTATTTTGCTCAGCTAAACATGTTGTTGTGGTTATGTTATGGATAAGTGCTTGCCCAGAGCATATAGTGAAGTGACTGGCATTACTTCTCATTGTTGGGAATAAACAGACTGCTAGGGAGCATTTTATGTTTATGTTTCTTCAGGAGTTGTGGTGATTTATGAGTGTGGAGTTAGCATGTTCTCCCCGTGTTCCAGTGATTATTTTGAGGCGTACTCTATATTTATATTGCACAGGTGTACCTAATAAAGTGGCCAGTAAGCCCCACATTTACACCACCGGCTCTGGGTCTCCCCTCAGCCCCTGGTTGCTCGGCAGCCTCAATTTCTCTTCTTGCTCTCTCTTCTTCCAAAACCTGTAACTCTTCCTCTGTATATTCTGGCTTCTTCTCAACAAACTTGTTGTTTTGATGACGGGAGTAACTGCACTAAACATACGCTGTTTGAAATCACTCCGCCCAGCAAGTACTGTATGTCTGAAATGTAGTTCCGGCTCTGCATTTGGCTTCAAAACAACTCTGTCTCGTAATATTACAACATTATTTTTATAGCGTGGTGAATGTGTAAGCTACAAGTTGTCCACAAGAGCGTTTTGGAGTCATTTGATGGTGTATTTGATTAGTTTTGAGGGAGAGAGGGACCTGTACCGTTCACCTCCATTTCAGCGGACAGCTCTGCCCTACCGATCTCAAAACAGCAGGCACTGACAATTAAAGGTAATGTACCTACTCATATGACTATAGGGATTACGGCAATAGGGGAATTTGCCAAAATGTCGAACTATCCCTTTAACCGACTGGGCCATTCAAACTAGGCGTGGCAGCGAGTGCCCTGGCCAGCTTGTGATCTGCAGCAATAGTTTAGGCAGAGATATTGGATAAAGCGAGATACCCCACTCAGCTCACTTCCTGATTCAGTGACGTCAGCGCCACGCCCCCGTAGGAGACTTGCGGCAGCTCTGAATGTATTGTCGTCAATGAGGAAAATGAACGTGATCACAGTTTATGGTCAGTTCTTTCGCCTTATAGTCACTAAAGTAAATATTGGGTTCGTTTTCCACAAGCCACACATCTTACCAACATTCTGACACTAAAGCTGCATTTTTCATCCACACAGATCAAGACAAAATTAACTTTGTTTGAGCCCTGTCCGTCTCAGAAAACAAGTTCTCGTGAGATCTTATGATCTTGATAAACAGGCGGTAAAATCACAGTTGGCTAACAAACAGTTATTTACCGCTAGTAATAAATAAAAAATGCCCAAGCTTTGTGCAACAATAGGCTGCAATAATAGGAAGAATGTATTTTCATTCCACCTGCTTCTCGATCCGCATACACAGACATCCACAGAGCCTCTGTTCAACACGGTGGTGGGGAGGGGGGGTTGAGGGAGAACAGGCTATGATTGGAGGGAGAGCTAACCACGCCCACTTAGGAGACAGGAAGAGTAACCGTTTTCTTAACATTGGATAAGCCTACGGTGGGGTATCTCGCTTCATCCAATATCTCTGGTTTAGGTGTCTGGTCTATTTTTTTGAATGATAAAGGAAATATTAAATATGATATAAATTATCTGGCTAATAAATGATAGAATATACATCCCATGCTTCAACATATTTGTCAGTCATGTTTAAACAGAGAGCGAGAAAGACAAGCAGAGCCACACACTCAATCACAGACAGAGGTCTACTTGTGATTTAAACAGAGCAGACTCACTTGCTCACGAACACAGAGAATGTTATGCTTTATGTGTAAACGGCCAGGTGACTGCTGACAGGCAGCTGCGCAACAATTAACAAATAAGGGCACTTCCACGTCTAGTGTTAACCCAGCCTTAGTCTCCCACCCTGTGGGTGAAAGGGCTAGTGTACATGTTTTAACTGGTAGGGATTCAGACAATAGTGTTGGAATGTAACTAACCACACTGACTCAAGTACTAAAGTATTTTCATTTTATAATACACTATACTTCTACCTCACCACACCACTAAGAGAAATATTGTACTTTACCACATTTATTTAACACAGTTAATTTTCAGATTAAGATTTCATCATGCAAAAATGTTGATCTCATAAATTATGATGCAGTACCATCACTACTACCCAGTAGTACATACAGTAAAGTGCCTCCTCATTAATACGCTACTTTAATGCTGCTCTTTTCAGAAATAATATTCAATAGCAGAATATACTTTAATATTTAACACAGTTTGCTACTAATACTAATGTAAATTACTTGAGTAACAATTTTAATTTGGGAGCTATACCTACCATGGAGTATCTTTATACTGCTACAGCCATTTCACTATTTACTCACCTTACACATGGCCTTGATTTTAAACCCTGGTTTCAGTCTCTGATCTTGCTTCTTGTGACACACTACACACCTTACCTGGTAGTCATAATCCATCTCACTTAACCCTCAACACTCATTAGCACGTATCTAAAAGAGTAATTTAAAGCACTTCATTTACATCATGGGAATCACCTATCTGCCAGATCACTTCATTCATCACCAACTAATGTATTCATTTTACTCCTAATGTCACTTTTATTGCCCTTCTAACTATCCTGCAGCTATATGTCTCGCTTACTTCACCACCACTTTTCTCAGTTTATCAGTCACTACATTTCAACCATTTACTAAGTAATGTAAGTGTGGACAGACAATGTACAGACAATTATAGCTTTGCAGTGTTCTTAACTCTGCGCTATCATGCTGCTGCACATACACTTTACAATCTATATGAGGGAGGTGGGAGGTGAATAGTTAGTATAGATTGAATGCTCTGATACCATCATCATTGAGAGACTCCATTGACATAGCTCTGTTCCTGAAGCTGAGGGAGTCTGTGGACTGGGACAGAATCCTACGCAGACCCAGGGGTGAGTCGTCATTCAGGGTCCTGCAATACAGACACAGACGCACAGACACACACACACACACACACACACACACACACGCACGCACACACACAAACAGCTGGTGGGACAGCTCCGACAGAGACCGTACAGGCAGAAACTAGAGGCCCAGCTGAGCCTTCTGTTGTAATCCTGCTCCACCCCCACTGGATCCACAAAGTTGCCTACTGGGGAACTTTACAACCATTAGTGCTTCTTAACAGAACTTCCAAAAGAGGTTTTTGGAAATACCTTTGAGCATTACCAGGAGGTGCATAGCAATGCCGTGGAAGTCTGATTCCCATCATCCCATAGCCAGGTGGTTTTTCGAAATGAACAGCTGCATTCCGCTTGAAAAGACGTATACTCTAAGAAATGAATACAACACCTTTCTGAATATTTAGCAGCCCTACTTGACCTATATTGACACTTTACCAACACCTCTATCAGATTTGTTATAAAAAGGATACCAGATTGATAGACCATCGGTCTTCTGATTGAGCCAGAATTATTTATATTGCCTCTTGTTTTATGTTGTATTTATCTATTTTTAATTTTATTTATTTACCTGTTGATTGTTACCTACACCTGGAGGGAGGGGATCTGGAGCCATGTTTGTGTGTGCTCTGTATGTTTTGTTAAATTGAAACTTGAAAATAAAATATAAAAATAAAAAAAAAATCATATGATATGTAGCATCAATTACAAGGCAAAATCGGGCTTAATCACTTCAGCTCCGTTGACCATGTCTCTCATTTTAGACCACTGTGTGGGAGAGGGGAAATGAAATTGGTTACAGAACTAACCAAAAAAACCTCACTTTTTAAAATATTACCCCAGCTAAATGGAACATTAGTCATGCTTTCAGCCCTGTATGTTTTTTAATATGATGTTAGCAGGTTTTTAAAAATAAATGTACAGATCAAGATGAAATTTGGTGAAAGGCTGTGGGCCAAGGAACAAGTTTATAACATAATAGCTTGTGACATGATGCATCATGGATAAGTTGCTTCCATGCACAGCTTCAAGGTGGCAGTAGGAGTGGATATGTGTGTATAGCTATGCATAATGGGTCTGTCTACCTAAGTGAATACATTGTTTCTTAGAAAACATAATCTGTTATATTGCTTGAGGTGGACTTTTTGGCAATTCTCCTTGTTTGGAACTGAGCTGGAAGTCTAGATATTCCCAGAATCACGACAACTGCTACACCTTAAATCAATCAGTGCACCTCCTGAGGACTGAAGACATGCCAAACTAATTAAGGTGTGTTACGCGGACGGTCAGCGTTTAGAAATTTCATCCCCCACAATCATGATGCAGAATTAAGAACAGAATTATGAACAAAAAAAATTGAGATAGCCAGTGAGATAAAAAGTGAGCTGACACAAAACTTCTGTGCCGTTCAGGAAAAAGTAAATCAGATCGATATGGCTACACTTTATCATCAATATAAGGAAATGCAGCACATGGTGAGCGCAAATGAGGACAATCTGCATACTGCCACAGAGAAAATTAGCTCTCTTCAAAAGAGGTGGACTCTCTGAAATCCAAGGTGGATTATATGGAGAATAAAAGTCGCCAGTCTAACCCGTTGATGGTCGGTATCCCAGAGGAAGCAGAAGGAAGAGACACGGCCGCATTTGTCGTCCGACTTCTGACGCACGCTCTCAGTTTGGGGCAAGACTCCGAGCCGCTGATGGTGGAGAGAGCCCACCGGACCCAAGAAAGACAAGAATCATCTGCTCAGGCAGGGACACCGATCATCCTTAAATTCCTGAGTTATCAACAGAAGGTCAAGGTGATGCGATGAGCCAGGGTAGTTGGAGAGCTGAGAGTCAACGGGAAGAGATTCTTTCTTTATCCAGACTTCAGCGCAGCTTTCCAGGAGAAATACAAGTCCTTTGCAGCGGTCAGAAGCGCCTCCGCGGTATGGAACTAAGGTATGGGCTGTATTTTCCAGCAACACTCTTTGTAGAGTATGAGGGCCGGAAAAGGCTCTTTAAAAAGCCCCGCTGAGAACTTCATTAAAGACATATCTTGAGGAGATTAGCAATTATTTGAATATGGCTCCAGTGCTACTGATGCTATTCTATTTCTTTTTTTTCTTTCCCCCACCTCATAGAGATGATAATAGGCCCAACAGTTATTTTGAATGGGTGATTTAATGCACCCCCATCTCTGTTCGTTCCTCTGGAAATTCTAAATTGCTGACTAAAAAGAGGATGGAACTGCATCGATTTTAACAGAGTGGGTATTTGAGGTGCAGCATGCATCATATTGAGACTGAGTTCACAAACTCATGTAATTATGTTGGGAATGAGGTTTTTTTCTCTCTTCTTACCGTTTATTAGGGCCCGAGCAACAACAAAGTCGTCCGTGAGGACCCTATTGTAATCGCGCTGTTTATTTTATTTATTAGAGCCCGAGCGACGACGAAGTCGTCCACATAGGACCCTATTGTAATGGCGCTGTTTATTAGGGCCCGAGCGACGACGAAGTCGTCCGTGAGGACCCTATTGTAATCGCGCTGTTTATTACTATTATTATTAGGGCCCGAGCGACGACAAAGTCGTCTGCGGAGGACCCTATTGAAATCGCGCTGTTTATTATTATTATTATTATTATTATTATTATTATGGCCCGAGCGATGACGAAGTCATCCGCGGAGGACCCTATTGAAATCGTGCTGTTTATTATTATTAGGTCACAGACCTGCGAGGTCCCTATTGTTTTTCGAATGATTATTATGATTTTTTTTTTTTTTTTTAATTATTGGGGCCCGAGCAACGACGAAGTCGTCCGCGGAGGACCCTTTTGAAATCGCGCTGTTTATTAGGGCCCTAGCAGGAGACCTACGAGGTCCCTATTGTTTTTCTCCTGATTATGTATTTATTCTTTTTTTTTTTTTTTCTTCCGCCCATATGATCGCATTTTTCACTGCCTGAACATACCCCAAAACTCACCAAACTTGGAATATAAGTCACACCTGGCAAAAAATTTTATAATCTATTATCCTCCTGAATTTCCACCATTATTAAGGAAAGTGCGCTTTGGCTCATAACTCCCATATACTTTGCCGCACATTCAAAAACCTCATATCCACGCGTTCAGTGAATTGTGCTGAATCTCGTGATATAGACCACGCCCATTTCCGCCTCCGTTTTTTTTCCCGCAAATTCGCAAAATATCGCAAACCTACTTTTTTGAACTCCTCCCAGGCAATTTCACCAATTTGCACGAAACTTTGCACATAGCATGTGTGGAGTCTCCTGACAAAAAGTTATTAAAAGAATTTTGATATTCCAAAGAATACTCAAGTTATTAAATAGCAACTTCCTGCAGATTTGGTACAAATTGTGTTCCATGGCCGGATGAGGGTTTGTGAAAAATTCGTTGCAAATCGGCCAATAGGTGGCGCTCTGGTGGCGGTCTAATTAGTGTGAATGGAAGTAAATTGGAAAATCTTGAAATCCTCTTCAAAACTCATCGACTTTCAACCTCTTCTTGTCCCTCATACTTTGAGCTAGAGACACCATGTCAACTTTTAAAGAGTCAAAAGACCTTGAACTATTGGGCATGTATTCAGCTTCTACTTTTTGTAAAAATACATATGTGGGTTGGGTGCCTACCTGTATACTGGAAATGTAAGTAAGAGATAATGTTTATTTTTTTTATTTATTACAGCTGACAAGACTTCTAGGTGCACGCCCCCCGACGGCAGCATGCCCCGACGCGCGTGGACTGTGCGACAACGTTTGGCATTTTGATGGCTTCAGCGACCTCATCTCCTCATGAAAATGGATACACAGGTCAAGAATGGCGAGCTCTTACATCTGATAGGGGCGTCGCCCATGGGGGGGACAAAATGCCTCTATAGCGCCCCCTTGAAATTTTCAAATAAAACCTCCACATAGGGTTTTTTTTTTGGAGTAGGAACATGAAAATTGGTACACATGTGTATGATGTCCAGACGCGCATAAAAGTCTCTGGCACCAATGGTCTACTCCAAACAGGAAGTCAGCCATTTTGATTTTGACTTGTCATTTTGGCGTGATTTCCACATGTTGTATTTTAACGAACTAGCCCTAGGGATTTCATCCAATCGACTTCAAATTTTTTACATATCATCCAGAGACCATGCTGATGAAAAGTTATTAAAAGCTTTTCTCTATGTCAAGGGGCGTGGCCGCTAAGGCGCCTCCCCTCGACACCACATACGTTTGGCTTTTTGATGGCTTCAGCGACCTCATATCCTCATGAAAATTAACACACAGGTCAAGAATGGCAAGCTCTTGCATCTGATAGGGGCGTCGCCCATGGGGGGACAAAATGCCTCCTTAGCGCCCCCTTAAAATTTTCAAAAAACCCTCCCCATAGGGGTTTTTTTTGGAGTTGGAACATGAAAATTGGTACACATGTGTATGTTGTCCAGACGCACATAAAAGTCTCTGGCACCAATGGTCTACTCCAAACAGGAAGTTGGCCATTTTGATTTTGACTTGTCATTTTGGCGTGATTTCCATGTTGTATTTTAACGAACTAGTCCTAGGGATTTCATCCAATCGACTACCTGATCTCACAGAAATACGTGAAATGACCACGACCCATTAACACCGCATTCCGTGGTGGCAGCACGTAATGGGTTGAAATTACGTGCTGCCACCACGAAAACAATGCCAATGTAAAGTCAATTAGGGTCCTCTCCCGTGGTGGACACACGGATTCCCTGATTCAATCACGTCACGTCAACCTCGTTTTCCTCAATGATATCTTTAACATTCCTGTATACACACAAAAACGCGGAAGTGTTCTTGATA